TGGTAGAGGCCGGGTGGCGGGAAGCTGCAGAGCAGCTCGGGCCCGCGAGTAGGGGTGCGAGAGGGCGCGGAAGGTGTCCCAGCGGGCGGATGGAGGTGGCGAAGGGCGAGGAGGCGGCGGCCGCTGCTCCCGAGGCCGCCGCGGCCGCGGCCGCCGCCGTGACGCCCACGTGCGGGTAGTAGTGCAGCGGCACGTGCGAGTGGAAGGGGTAGGGCAGGCTTCCGGTGGCGGCCGCGTGCGTCATCATGTAGGTGTAGAAGCTGGGGTCGGCCGGGTGCGGCCAGGACATGGCCAGGCGCTGCCGCTTATCCTTCATGCGTCGGTTCTGGAACCACACCTGCGGGGAGAGCCGCAGCGCGGCCCGTTAGGGAGCGCCCCGCCCCCGCCCGCGCCCGCGCCCCGGGCCTCCCCGCCCCTCCGGGGCCTCCGAAAGACCTGGCCTGTTCCCCTCCGACCCGACCCAGCGCCCAGGCCCCTGCCCTCCCCGCTGGGACAGAGCGGGTGGCCGAGCGGACCGCGGGGCACGCCCTCCTCGACAAAAAGACTCTCCTACGCTGGGTCCGACTGCTGCAGCCCCTCGGGCTTCTGCTCCCTGACTTTCTGCTGCGTTTTCTCGTCCCAGCGCCACCCTCCCACTCCGCCCCACCGCTCGCCGGCACCTGGCGCTCAGTCCCAGCATGTGCACCGCCTGGGCAGGGAGGCTGCGGCTGCAGCTTGGGGAAAAGGCCGCCGCTCCCGGTGCCGAGTCCTCCGAGCTACCAGAGCCTGCCCGTGGGGTCACTGGTTCGATGTTGATGTTGAAGGGATGATTTTGTTGGGAACATTTGCCTCCAATGAGTGGTGGGAATAACTTCCTCTTAAACTGGGAAGGGGACTTTTCTACGCCCTCGCAGCCCGGTTTCTAAAGAAGACATCATCCCCTAACTTAGAGAAAGTCGGAGGAAACCGAAGGGAGATCTCCACACCCCTCCCCTGCCCCGTGGAGTTTCCCGTTTCCTTTTTCCAGAGTCGGATCCTCTGTGAAGTATTCACCACGTCGCCCAACCTCCCGTCTATCTCTCTCTCTCTCCGCCCGTATAATAAAACTAGTCACCTAAAATGTGTAAATAAGGACAAGTTCACTGCGTTGTCTCTCCAGGGGGTTGTCCTTTCCTGTTGCCCCGGGGGAAAAATACTTAGAAATACTTTTTTAAAAACCCAATCGGTTTTTAAAATACAGTATCATTTTCTCTGTGTTGTAACGATTTCTGTGGGAAATGAATGTCCAAGATCAGAAGCAAATGGAAAGTTCCACGTCTGGTTCATACCAGAGGAACAAAGCCCAGCCTGCTCCGCCGCCTCAGGGGAAGTGGAGCCATGGCCATGGGCACCTGGACACGGGCGAACGGGCTCCGCCATTCAGGCCCTTCCCAGGTCAGCCAGGCCCGCCAACCCTTCGGATTCGGGAAATAAACATGCCGATTCCTTTGGTGACTCTCCCTCGCGGGTTTTCAGGCCCAGCTAAGTCTAGCCCCCCAGAAAGGAGACACAAACATCCACCCAGACACCCCCGGGAGGCCAGAGCCAGGCGCCTGCTGGGATCCGTACCTTGATGGTGGTTTCGGGCAGGTTAAGCGCAGCGGCCAGCTCGCACCGGCGGGGCCGTGACACGTAGTTCTCCCGGTAGAACTCCTTCTCCAGGCGCGCGATCTGTTCGCGGGTGAACGCCGTGCGGTAGCGCCGCACCTGATCGGCACCGGAGCCGGAGCTGCCCAGCGCCGCGCCCCCGCCGCCGCCGCCGCCGCCGCCGCCGCCGCCGCCTCCATGCAGGCTGCCGAGGCCGGAGCCCGACGAGGACGTCGTGGTGCCCCCGGCGGATCCGCTCTCCGCGTACCCTGGCAAACGAACGGCCGACAGCGCATGAGTCACTGTAGGGCCACGATCCCCTCGCTGGGGCTGCGCGCGGCTGGGGGAAGCTGCGAGAGCCAGGCGAGACGCTGCCTGAATTGATGGGGTCTGTCATGCTTACAAATTGCTGCCGTTAATGGAATCAATAAAGTTTGGGGAGCACTTCATAACCAAATAATAAGAACTCAATTAGGGTGGTTTTTAAAAAAATAATAATTGGAAATTTTCAACTCTGGGAAAATTGGCCAAGGGAAAATGCCCATATCCAGGCGCAGTTTGGGAAGCTCTGGGTTGGCCATGGTCTGGGGACCACCGGGCAGCTTTCTGTGCGGCCTCTAACCCTTCTTTGACGGTTTTGGGGGTTTGTTTAAAATTTGAACGCCAGCCGCCGCTCAAACCGGAACCATGAGGGGTGGACCTTACTTTTCCTCTCTTTTTCTCCCGCTGACCCAAGCGGGTCTCCCAAAGGCGCCCGGCGAGGCTCCCCCCGACTTACTCAGAATGCCCCCTCCACTCGGCCTTGGGAGCTCAGAGCAGAGGAGACCAGAGCAGCCGCTCAGTGCACTCTTCCCTAGCCTAGCGGACTCCGCGGCTGGCTAGGGGTGGGTCGGCGCGCACCGGCTTTAGAGCCGGGCGCAGGAACGTTTTCTCCGGCTCGGGAGCCCGGGCAGGCCGTCAGGCGGGCCTGGAGCCTCAGGCCTGCGCCTCTGGGAGACACTCAATGATCAGAGCCCGAGGGCACGGTCTCCCGCAGGCGTCCCGCCCCTGCTAGAGCGGGCGAGCGGCCGCTTGCTGCGGGGGGAGCAAAGGGGCAAAGTCACCGGGAAGGGCAGGCAGCAGCCCCGGAGGAACAGGGAGGATGGGACTGGAGAGCGCGGCGCGGTTACCTTTGCCATTGTTTTCCTTAAGCGGCGCGGCGCCGAGGCCGCCGGGGGAGCGCAGAGCGGAGCAGCCCACCTCCACGTCGCTGCTCATATCCGCCTCGGCGGCCGCCTCGGAATAATGGCCCGGCTTTTTGCGGCCCTCCGCGGCAGAGGCGATTTCGGAGGAGACGGTGCTTTCGCTGCCCGGGTGCTGCAGGTTGAACAAAGTGTCTATTTCGAATTTGCCCTTGGCAGGGAGGTCTCCCAGAGAGCTGTGCAGGGGGGCGGACGGCAGGCGCGGGCTAAGGCGAGCCGGGTGCTGCGAATTTTCCAGGGCCTCGAGTACAGCATTGCCAGCCGAGTCGGACAAATTGGAGAACCTCTTGCCGGCCGTGGGGCTGTGCAGCCCTCTCTCCATCAGAATCATCTCTTTTCTTATTCTTTCCATCATCTCAGCTTTCTGAAAAATGTCACAGTGGTCCGGCTGTCCCGTCCTAATGATGGGCTGCGCCTAGGGCTAATTCTCATTCAGCCCCAGCGAGCGCCTCTAGATATTATTATCTCTTTTGGAGGGAGGCAGAAAAATTGTGGAATGCCAGAGCGAGGGAATGACTGGTCAAAATGACCCATACATCCTTCCGAGCCCAAGATGTCATTCATCAAAAAGTAGCGCTCGCTCGTCATTAAGGTACGAATGACGCCGTTCGAATAATCATTTATTGTAACAGGTTTATAAGCAAATAAATACACGCTCCTGTCAGTGGGTAATGAAGGCAGCTTCGGAGCAGACAAATAGATCCAGGTAGGAGGCTTGAAAAGACAAGAAGTGAGGAGGAAGGCTCCGGTCCTTTGCCGGTGCAGAGCCGGTTCTGCTCGCCCGGGGGTTTGGCCTCGGGGGTGAAATTGACAGTCTGATTAATAGAGCGCTCCGCGGCACATTTCCCCCTTCATTTAGGGGCATCATTACGCTCTCAGTTTGCTGGGTTGCCCCTTAGGTCCTAATCATGCAGCGCCTTCCTCATTTTTCCTCGGACACAGATACGTGTTAAATAATAGATAATGCTTTGATTTTTCCAGAGTAGATCGTCGTAGGGAAGCTGCTTCTTTTTTTTTTTTTTTTGAACATTTACAATTGGGAGGGGGTGAGGGGTGGACAAGGGGGAGGATGTAGGAAGAGTTGCGTAAGGAGAAGACCTTGCGCTCCTGTCTGGATTACTTATCTTTTGAATTTCAGAACGAAATATGTCTTTTATTTAACAAATAGGACGCCGACTTCTCTCTTTCCCCCACTTCGCCTCAGCCAGGCTGCTCTTCTCCTTCCCAGGAGAGAGAGAGAGAGAGAGAGAGAGAGAGAGAGAGAGAGAGAGAGATCTTGTAGACTTTTGAAAGCAGTTTAGTGCTACGTGGCTGGGGAGGTGCGCTGGGCCCGCGCCTCCAAACGGAAATCATTAGGTCCTCTCTGATTTTTTAACACCGTTTGCAGAGTGAGTTCTGAACTTGAAGTCCCAGGTTTTTTGCTTTTATAATCTTGCTGATGGATAGGCTTCTCGCCTACGGGTTTTCCCTGGGGGAAATGAACTCTGCTGGACGATTTCATAGCAGAATTCGACAGCTAACTTAAAACGCAGTCGCGATTTACAGCGCCATATGGGCCGCCCCAAATCCACTTTTTACGTTGCCAGCTTTCCCCTTCCCTCTTCAAATCAAATTGTTTGTGGCTAAGTTGCCGGGTCTCGAGGTCAAACGGGGCCAAGAAGAGGGCCTTTCCCCCCTACCGTCCCGCTGCCCTCTCTTCCCTACTCAGCTCTCCTTTTCTCCTTCCTCCCTCCCCCCACCCCGGCCCCTTACCTGTCGCCCCGGGTATTCCCCGCGCGGACTCCCGGGGCGGAGAGTCGCGGGCCAGCCTTGCTGCTGCTCCTCGCCGCCTGGGCTCGGCAGCTGAGCCTCTTGGCGATGACTTTGATGGTCATAACGACGCCGGTGGCAACCATTTTTACGAAGATCAATCTTTACTCAAAGCCCTTGCACGGCTCCTCCCGCGCTTACACCCCACCCTGCCCGGACCCCAGATGCACTGTGCGGGTCCGCCCGCCAGCAGCCCACAGGGAGAGAGACCCACGGCCAAGGCGGGGTGAGCGAGGACAGGGATGGGGCGCCGAGGTCAGCCTGCGCGCTTCCGAAGCGGCCGAAAGACCCGGGCAGTCTGGGCGCCGGGCGCGGGTCCTGCGTCCCCGCCTCAGCACCAACCCATACCCCAACCCAGGCCCCCCCTTTCCTCCCTGCCGCCACACCCAGCACATCGGGGTGTGCGAGGGGCAAATCCGGGATCTATTTGTCCATCTCTGTGTTGGCGCTTTGCTTTTAACCTTGGCCCCGTTGGGGGCGCGTCAGGAATGTAGGGGAGGCGAGGTGTGAAGTATATTTATATACATTTATATACGTAGTCAATGCCAAAAGTTTCTCTCCTTTTCCCCTTGGCGCCAACTTATTTCAACGACGCGAGCCTTGCTTAGAAAATCAATTCCACCTCTTTAAGGAAATAAATGGAGTTCTCCCCCAAGGTGAGAACTGGAAAGCTGGACAGGCGTTGTGGCTGGGGAGGTCGGGGTGGGGGGACGCGGAGCAGGCTTGGGGTATTCAGAGGACTTGGCTCGCAGGCACCTCCGCCCCTGCCCCAGAGGCCACCCGGCTCAGAAAACTGCCAGCCCTTTCCAGCCGGCGTTCCGGGTCAGGGCTCAGCCTCGCCGGGGCCCCCACCTCTCCCTCCCTGCTCCCCAGTCCGAGCGCCCAGCTCCACCACTCCGGGCGGGGGAGGGGAGTCGCTGAGCAGGAAACTGGAAAGGGTACCCCTCTCCCAGCCCCACTTGCTTTGGGGACTGAATGGGACACCTCACTCCAGGCTCGGGTTCGTGGTGGGGACGGGGGAGCAAGGGCCTGGCGGGGAGAGGGAGGGGGACAGATGCCAAGAGTGGGGGGGGGGGGGGTGGTTCGGGCGGAGCGCGACCAGGGCGGAAATCGCGGATGCCTTTATTGCTGTCGTTTGGCGCCCCCATCTGTTTTCCTCGAGGTTTTGGCGGCTGTGAGCCGCTTTCAATCGCAGAAGCCGCGGCTGAGTTGTGCGATGCGTACACTGACCCTTCACCCTTCCCCCAGCCAGCGGGTCCCCCACTGCCTCCCGTCCTCTGGGACCCCTCACCTCAGGGCCCAATGTCTGCGCCAAACCTACCTCGGTCTGTTGAAAAAGGGAAAACACCATTTCGCGGGCACACTTAGGTTCATTAGGGTTCTGAAAACTCTATCGCACCTTTTTTAAAAAAATATATTTTATTGATTTTTTACAGAGTGGAAGGGAGAGGGATAGAGAGTTAGAAACATCGATCAGCTGCCCCCTGCACACTCCCCACTGGGGATGTGCCTGCAACCAAGGTACATGCCCTGGGACCCTTGAGTCCGCAGGCCGACGCTCTATCCGCTGAGCCAAACCGGGTCAGGGCTCTATCGCACCTTTTCTATAACACTAACATTTTGCATTTCGGCACGTGCATTATGACAGGTACATGTCAGGGACACTGCTCACCGTGGAAGGCGCCTATTATTTTTCACTAAACTGCGTTTAGCAGACAAGGTTTTCACAGGAGGCAGTGAAGATTCCTTTACAATGTTTCATGCCCCTTCGTTTATTCCACACCCACAAGTAATAGTAATAGTAATATTGGCCAACTTCTAGGTAGCTTTTAGTCTGAAAGCACAAGTGCTTTTTACATCTATCATCTCCCCTACACCTCACAGCAACTCTAGAAATCAACTGTGTTATTACCCCTTTCTCAGAGGTGAGAAGCCTTCCGCACAGAGAGGGTGGGGGATTTGCTCCTGATGTGAACTTACCTTGGATAATATCCACGTTATAAGGTACACAAGCTCTGGGCAGCGTTTTTTGGTTGGGTTTCTCGTTTTGCATGCATCTCCTTTAAATCCAGGCCTACCTCCCAGGCGTTGAGCCTGTGTGTGCAGGGTAGGTAGTGAGAAGATTAACACAGTTCTGTTGGCGTTTATTAATGAAATGCCCAAACCTTGCACTTCTCCCAGAAAATCGGCTGAAACTGGAAATGGGCTTTGTCAAGTGTCCCCACTTTTAAAAGACATAACTTTAGGGCTACCGCGGCCTCCTACCAAGGTACAGGACTCAATAAAACAAGACAAGGACCCACCCCGTGTCCTCGAGCTTTGACAGGAACTTTTAATGCGCATTGAGGGTGAGGGTGCGGAAAGGATTTTCTCCAAATGGATTGAAAAGCAATTTTTGCTCAAAAGGAGGAATTTCAGGAAAGAGGCCTAATTTGAGGGACGGGTAGGCCTTCAGACCAAATATTTGTTTCTTGCGGAGCGGCAGGTTCTCCACTTTGGGTCGATTGAAGATAATAAAAACTTGTCCGTGCTGCTGGAGGAGAGGGGAGGGCACCCCCCGGACCACGGGGCACAAATCCCACCGCCGCTTTGGGCCGCAAGCTCGCTGGGCGCGGGATGTGAGGGAGCAGCTGTGTGGCTAGAGCCTGAGCTGCGAACCCCGGGCACATTTTCCTTAGGCTGAGCGAGTTCCCCACGGCTCGGAGGTTTCTTGGAAGTTTCGGTTTATGAGGGAAGACGCTGGTTTGGGGAATCCAGGCCTGACTCGGACTGGCAACTTTTTGCGGCCATCCCTGGCAAGTCAGCCTTGAGTTTCTGCCTCTCTCGGGTCTTTCTGGCTCCTCCTTCTTCCCCCTAGAACCCCGCACCCCACCTGAGGGGAGGATGGAGGAGTACTTTCTCCATGAACTCTGGGGCTACCTAGGCACACTGCCTGTCTGAAACTTGTGCGCCCGGAGACGTGACAGGAAAACTTGCAGGGACATCTAGCGCCAGGCCTGGGGAACTGCGCGCCGCCAGTCCGGGAAGCGAAGCCCGACCGCTTGCCCCTTCTTCCTCCCTCACTGCGCCCCCCAACTCCACCTCACCCCGCGCCCCTTGGTCCTCAGGCATTTCCCAAACCTTCATCCCCGTGGCGATGCCGCTGACCACACCACACGTGCATTTCTGGTAGAGACAGCGGAATGGGGGGAGGGGGGAAGAGGGGGAGGAAAGAGGAGAGAGAGAGAGAGAGAGAGAGAGAGAGAGAGAGAGAGAGAGAGAGAGAGAGAGAGAGAGAGAGATTCTCTGTCATCCAAAAGGGCCGACAGAGTTTGCACTTTCTGGACTTCAGTTAACAATAATATTGCTAGACAAGTGTGTTCCGAGGACAATCCCACACCTTGAGATGTGGACAAAGCAGCAGAAAATTGCTGCGGTCCCAGCTTTTGTTTTGCCAAAAAAGTAAAAGTAACCCAGGTTCCCAATTCTGGTCCCACCCTCTGGCGCCCCCTCCTCAAGGAGATTAGTGCTTCTCTGAGAGGGATGATGCTCCCAGAGTTTAATTCC